AACAATTTCTACACATTATGTCCATGCATTGGTTTGGTCATGTGCAGCTATCAGTCAATGATTTCAGGACTGCAAAGGGAGAAAAATAAGCAGCTGCTGCTAGAGGTTTGGGTCCTCTGAGGTGTTTTCCTACATATTTGTTTATCCACTCAAGCTCAACTAGACAAGAATATTTTTTCCATTATGTAATCATTTAATCAACGTGCATGGATATAAGTCACATGAAAAAGTTTTTATTGGTTTAGAATGAAAGAAAAAAAAAGGACTGAGGAAAACTGAACAAGGAGGACTTCATACTGTAGGTCTCTTAGCTCAAACATTTGAGAGCTCACTCTAATGGTGATGAACAGCTGTGACTGAGTGTGTTTAACAGCTCTGATCACATGGTGATATTTTTATTACATGAGACAGTGCTATGTTTACCATCAGGCAGCCCACTGATATCTGGTTCCATATCATGCTGCTACTTTTATTGTTGTCCTTCCATGGTGTTTTTGAGAGAGGAGTTACTGTAAAGATGAATTTCAAGAAAATTAGCATGAATACGATTATTGAAATTGTAATAACTGTGGAATTTCAATGAGTAATGCTAACATCTTCAAATGAGTGAGACTTCTTGGAGGAAGTTACATGATAATAGGCTTTGTTAAACTTTTCTTTACTCCCTGTAGTGACCATATATTTTTTTATCTGCTCTTTTTCTGTTGCCTGAAACATGATTTTTTTATTTATTTATATTGTTCTAGTCACCAGCTAATTTCTTCATGCATCACAACCCCTTTTCTGTAACACAAGTATTTATAGCCTCGTAAACTAAATACATGAGTAACGGTTGGATTTAGGTATATAAGATCCTAAAAGCATGTCTGCAGGGAAGGTACTGTAGGAGGACCTAACCAAGAAAACCACTTAACCCACTCCTTAATTAAATCCGGAGGATTTCCACTTTGACAGCAAAGCTGTGTAAAAGTAGAATTAGGATGAGCCGCTTTTGAACCAAACTTGTTCAGATGTAAAATCACCTGCTGCAAACAAGAAATTAAGACAAAGAGACATTTGTTACATGGGCTTCCTAATATTTGATCATGTATTTGTTGCACTCTCCATGCAGCTTCACTGTGCTACCACCATGCTTCACTATAAGTATAGTGCTCATTTAAGCCTTTTCCATATTCTTCTTCCTCCTCCAGAACCATATAAAGTTCCAGTTCTGATTTGATCCACTATTCATCATAGCAGATAAATTAAACGTTTGTGAAACTTCTTAACTTATCTTTCTTGCATTTTGGGTTGAGTGTTTTTTTTTAATCTTCTTGGAGGTTGAGGCATGTTCAGCTCTTAGTAACTGTATCACTGTGGAAACTAAGACTTCAGTGGCTGCTGCTGTCATAATCTGCAACAAGCAGGAGAAAAAGGTTGTGGGTTTTTTTTCCAAAAAAACTAATTTTAAGTTCAGGTAATTAGGTAAGAAAACGTAGACTTAGAAAACTTTTATTGTTATTTTGTATACAGAGAGTGTATACAAAACAAAATTTCATTTTGTACAGCTCTTCAGGCAGTAAATGAACATTTCCATCCCATACAGTGCAACAGTGATCAAATGTAAACAGTGTGGGAGAAATAACTGGTGCAAAAAAACCCTGCAAGTTCAGAGCATTAATGTATATAATGAAAATATGCAGTATTTTTTGGTTTGTATTAACAATTTGATTCAGAGTTTGTGTATCAAGAGTTTTTTCAACAGTTCACCAGTCTGATGGCAGTGTGGAAAAAGCTGATGCAGAATCTGCTGGACCTGCATTGAATGCTGGGAAGTCTCTTCCCAGAGGGCAGCAGTGAGAACAATCCATGGCGGGGGCTTAAGGGGTCATTGATGATGTCACAGGCTCGGAACACGCCGCACTGTGATGAAATGTCTTTTATGGAGGGAAGGGGAGCCCCAATGATCCCCTCGAAGTTCTCGGCAAAACGGCATTTCCCTTTAAGGCACACATCCTCTATTTACATGTGCCCTTCTTTTTGTTGGCAACAAATATAGCAGATATACGAGTAATAACATTCCTTATTCTGCTATGAGAACCAGGATGGTGGTATAGTGTTCAAATGGGGTGGGTCTTATCTGCTAGTCTTTAAATATTTTACATGCAAGCAAATAGGAAGGATTCCCTGATATGATGAAGAAGCCTCAGTATTTTATCTCTAAGCATTACATGCACTCAGAGTTTTAAAGAAATAGCTAAAAAAAAGTTCAAAAAAAGACATTAGAGGCTGGTGATGTAACGGCAAACGGGATATGGGCCTCAATCACAGTATTTTTTAGCAGAGGTGGCCTTATGTACTCATGTTGCTGCCTTTCTTCATAAGTAGTTTTTCTCTTGCTGGCAGCTGCCATTCCTCTGTCAATAATTCAGTAGTCAACTTTTGCAGTGCTCTCTGTGAAACTCATGCTGAGATGAATTTCAAAATTCTCTACGTGAACTTGCAGCTAAAGCTGTGAATAGTTTAGAGGTGACTTTTGTGGGCTGTTTTTTTTAAGCAGCAACATTCTTCCAGGTATTAATATTAATAAAGGTTCAAATTGGATTTATTGCAGGTATATTTACTTTGGTGTTGACACATGCAAATTATTTATATGTTCATTGACAAAATTTTGGAATTAGCTTTAACAAATGATGTGGCTAAAAACTGTTGATATGCAATTTCTTCTAGTAACTGGAATGAATTTACCCTTTTACAGAAAGGTGCATGCCTAAGCAGGTCCTACCCCCATCTCATTATTCTCACTTATATTCAATGGAGAGACGACTTCGACAAAGCTTCAAATGTTAACCAAAATAAAACAGTAGAAAATAAATGCATACATTCCCAAAATACCTAATTTATAAGCAACATGCTCCTCAGCAGTTTAATAATCAAAACCCTGACACTGTGCTGAAGGAGCAGATTCTTTGTGATTTATTAAACATTTGATGCAAACATCACCTTTTTCTTATAATACTCTCCTTTTACTGCATTGCCAGCATTTTTCCATGTTTAAACCAAGTAAAATAGAACTGTGCACTCATGGATGTTAAGCTGTTTTCATCTCTACTCTCTCTGTCATAAAAAGAGAAAAATTAAAGTGTAAATTTAAGATATATTGCTGCCATAACTGTTCCTCTTAAAGTTGTTTATGCTCATATTTATTTTTTCTATGTACTAAATATTTTATACTATAGGCGTACCAGATTTATAAGCATTAAGTCCTGTTAAATGTAAATCTAATAGAGAAATAAAACTGATGTTTTTGAGGCCTAATGGGGTGAATTCCTAATGGAAGTAATAAATACAGGGGCCAGCAAAGGTAAACCGCTCTAACTTTAATACATGTTATATTACAATCAAGAACATTGATATAAAAGATTTACACACACACACTTACACAATTTACTCTATATATATAAAATATGTACTTTGAAGCATGCACCTCTAATCTGGTTGTCAAGTCTAAATGATATCCAAAAGTAAAATTGTCCACTATCTTTGAGATAGAAGTTGTTTGTTTGAGACAAATTGCATCCAGTGTGTTACATTTTATTGCAAATTTTTTTAACCATTTCTGAAGAATGGCAAAAAAAAATTATTCTGTTTGTTGTTTTCCATGTAGGGACACTGCAAAAATGTAACACAAGTGGCAGTTGTCAGATGGGCTAAAAATGCACAAAAAATATATGCATGGTGCAAAAGTAAAACACATCATCCAGATTCAATACATATTTTTGGTAAAACATGGTAGTGGTAGTGGTGGCATCACTTTGTGGGACATATTGGTACTGTTCAAAAAAAATGGCTGGAGATAACTAAAGGCTATGTTGGCAGGGGTGGAGCTAGATGGGTGGCCAATGATTGACCGCCTAAATAAACACCAAACTTTGCAAATAGTTTTTGCTCAGATGTTTTCTACAGACTTTGCAGTTATTAACTTTGACTCCAAAAAGTACCAGAAATGTTTACGTTTGTTTCAATCAATCAATCAGTCAATTTCTTTATTGTAAACTACAATTTACTTTGTCATTGAGATTTCAGTTTCAGTACAAACCGACCCAGGGCCCCAGCCCATAGGTGGTTCCCTATAGTGCTGAAAGATAGGAGCGATATTGGGGAGGAAGAGGAAAAAAAAAAACATATTCCACACTTTATCCTTAACAGGATACAGTTTGAGATATCAAAAAAACTTCAGCACAAGAAAAGCACCTGTAACACGAGACAGACATTTTCAGCAGAGGGTCGCATTGGATGATATGGAGGCGCTTGTTTATCTATGCTCTGTATTTTGGAGGAATCATATACTTTTTCAGCACTTTTAACTGAAATCATTTTAAATCCCAATGGAATACAGTCACATCTTCAGGGGTTAGGATGTGGCAAAATATGAAGAAGTTCAAGGAATTTTAATACTTTAGCAAAAGGCCACACAGAGTTTTCTCTGTGAATGCTGTTCTTTATTGGTACCTCTTGTGAGTGAGATTTGGCTCTTTCAATTTTTCTGGATCTATTTTATTGTATTTTGGATCCACTGTTCTGCAGGTGCAGGGTGCAGCCTTCGGCAGAGGGTTGTTGTAATGGTGTTCCCAAAAGAATGCTGAGGAGGTAGGAGGAATGTGTCAAAATGATATCCGGATGTCAGAATATAGATGATTCACTGCAGCAACCTGCTGAAATAATCAGCTGTCAGTTTGTTTTCTTTGTGCCTCAAAGATTATTTGAAGTTGGTTGAATTTATAAGCATGACTTACCAGCAAACCTGAAACCCAGTTTAACCACTGCCCAAATTCTTATCTCAATTAAGCTAAATGCGTTTTTTTTTTCTGTTTTGCAACTTATTTCTAGATGGACAAATTTAGGAAGGCATCAGCAGTGTTTCCTGCCAGACAAGCTGTCCTCCCAGTTAGGTAGAACGCCCAGAAACCGAAATCAAATATCTTAATCTTTTGTCTCCTTGCTTGTCTTGTTCCCTTCAGGAGTCCTGTCTCCCAGTAGCAGCCATGTGAAAGGAGCTGTCAGCATGCAGAGGATGCCCACTTCCAGCTAAAACAGAACAGTCCTCCCCCTCTTCTTCTCCCCACCCGCTCCCTCCCTCCTTCCCACATGAGGGCACGAAGATGACTATCACCAGCCGGCAGTCCTTTAACATCCTGACGGTCATCTTCCTACTGCTGACCACTGCAGGTATGTGAAAGCTAGGATGGTGCTCTGGATCTGGCTGAATCTGCCAGATGTAAAAGTTCTGATTTATCTCATTAGAGGGGTTTATAGACATCCCTGTGGAAGTTCCAGGTCATATCTATTGGTGTATCCTGATAATTGCATCTCTTGTAAGGTAAAGATTCTAAAAATGCATATATCTTATAGGATGTAGCCGGGTTTTGAATTTACACTGTGATTAAATCCTATAAAATAACCAAAAAGCTTACTTATTTATCTGCTACTAACTTCAATGGTGGTTTTGAGTTCTAAATTGAACAGAATAAGTAATTGTTAATATATTAACACTATGGTCAGAGTTGAGGGCAAAGTTTTGAACTAAACTGTAAAGAAAAACTGAAAGGGAGCTCAGCTCATCCTGAGATCATTTAATGATTCTCTGTTGAATAAAACATTTACCTTGTTTCTTTAAGGGGTACATTGATTTTATTGTTTGTGGTCATAAGATAAAACAAAACAAACAGAAAGGATTCAATTGCTTTCTATTACACATCTCCAAAAACATCTTAAAAAATGTGTCAGGGTTTATTTTTTTGATCACTCATTTGAGGAATTAAAATATATCAAGTATTTATTTCTTGTAATTCTGTTGCACATGGTTCAATGAAAGCCACAATTTAGTGTCTCGGAAAATGTGATTATCAAAAAAGAAAAGAATATAAAAGTAAGATTTCAGAAATCCATAGTGTCACACTATTAGCTAACACCTGCAAAGTTTTCCTATGGTCTTTCACTTATGATTTGAAAGACGTCTGGAATACGTATTGGATGGGATTATCCAAAAAGATCCATAGTGGTTCATAGAGAGCTGCTTTCAAGAAAATTAATTAAAAATTTTCTGGGAGGAAAAAGTGTCTCGAGAAAAGGTGCAACATTTACAGAGATAACTGCAGCATTGGGAGGATTTTTAGAAACTAACACAAAAAATGTGGGGCTTCATGGGGAGTAGTTAAGGCTGGAGTCACTACAACTCACCAGAAAATAATATCCACGACTAGAGAAAAGAACAAATGAGGCTAAATAAAAAAAGATAATATTTTTTTAAATTAAAATTTACAGTTTGGGTTTAATTTCGAAAAAAGTCTGAAGGGAAAGTTGAGAGGCAGATGTTGCGTGAAGAGCAGACGGGAATTAGTGTGGGTGATGATCTGGGGTGTCTAGTCATCTGCGTATATTGCTCCACAGGAAGTTTTAGAGCTTTTCATGCTTCCATCTCGTGACAAACATTATGGTGATCCTACATAGTCAAAGAGGCCAACTGGTGATTCAGTGACCATGGTCTTACTGTGCTTGATGAACAACAAACTGCCCTGAACCCCGCAGACATTATGCATTATGCATCATCAGTGCCACACCCTGATAGCTAAGTCAAAAGAGATCCTTTCAGCTTCTGATTGTTCTTCAGTACTCCTGTGTAAATCTGACTTTCTAATAACAGTTTAAAGGGAAAAACAAAAGAACTCATGCCAGATTCTGTCTAATACTAGCTATTTTTCATATGGAGCCATTAAGTTCAGAATAATTAAGTGGTGAACTCTGATAATCAGTTGGTTTAAACTCTGGCAGCATGCCTCCAATCAGCTGCTGAACAGACATGCTGTTAATAGCTTGTCAACTGTAGTTAAAGTGTAACTTCAAGTAATGATATCTTACAAAGTAACATCTTCATACAAATCAGTGTGTTGATAATCAAGATGGAAACAAGTACTTAAAAAAAACTGTCAAAAACAATTGAAAATATCATCTTTGTGGCTTTTGCGGGGGCGACAGTGGCGTCGGATGTAGGAGTTTGTCCTGAAATCGAAGGATTGACGGTTCAAGGCTCCTACTTTCAGTGTCGTTGTGTCCTTGGGCAAGACACTTCACCTGCATTGTCTACTATTGTTGGTGAGAGGGCCCGATGGCGCCAGTGTACGACAGCCTCGCTTCTGTCAGTGAGCCCCAGGGCAGCTGTGGCTACAATGTAGCTTGCCACCATCAGTGTGTGTGTGAATGGGTGAATGACTTAATGTAGTGTAAAGCGCTTTGGTCAAGTCCCCTGACTTGAAAAAGCGCTACATAAGTAGAGGCCATTTACTATTTGCTTAAAACCCTCTCAGAAATATAGAAGGTGGTATGGAGTAGGGTTTGCCTCAAGGAGGAGAAATGGAAAAAAAAAAACCCCACCAGGCTTGAAATTGAACCAAGGACTGTCTTGCTGCAAGGCAACAGTGCTACAACCTTTTTAGTAAAATATCCATTTACATTTAACCCAGTTAAACAATTATTTCTGATAGTGTTTAAGATATACAAACTGATTTTTATACAAACTGATTTTATTTGGTTCACTTTGGTGTTTAAATAGAATAGATTATAAACTTTAATGCTACAGAAAAACAACAACAAACTTAGGATTAGACTGCAGCAATAAATGGTAAAATAAAGAACACCTGGCTGTAATTTTAACCTGCTTTCCAACTATCAGTTCAAAAATGGAAAGTTGTAAACAAACTGCATTGGGAGAACCAACCTGTTAACTAATTCTAAAGACGCGTTAATGAAATAAATAGAGGGCTGGATGTTATAGCATCCGTACTTTTTAGAGGGTAGCTGTTTTTCATTTAAGAAATAAAAGACTTGACCTGAATTTTACAGTTCACCTTCTGATGCTGACTACCACTGATTTTCTCACAGCCAGATCTTTGAAACAACGCACTGCAGAATTTCCTACCCCTTCAACATGCTATTCACCAGCTGTTTCCCTTTGCTGCTTAATTCTAAACTCTCTGCTTTTAAAGCTGCATTTGAAGAGAGGCTTGCTGGATACAATGAACATCATTACCATCTTAGAGAGCCCTCTTTGCAATACTGATCGGTCTCTGTCTGAGATCACTGAAAGACTTCTATCTAAGCAGACCTTGAAACTAAATCAGAGCAATAACTATTTCATTAACAACGGCGCCAGATTTTTAGGCTTAGCTGATAAAAGGCATTTCCGCAGACAAAGAGGAGTTACTTACAGCTAAAGTGATACGAGTCATCCTTTTGTTCATGCGTTGACTTATAAATATGAGGCGCTGACAAACATAGAGTTAAAGTGCGGCAAATCATTTTAGCATATCAACCAGTAAGTTGCATCATCTAAAATCCAGAATGGTGTCCAAAACACATGAGCTTACACAAAAATGAACACGTATTAAATATTTTCACATCTGCATGAAAAAGTTTCAGAAACATTTCAAGTAAAAGCAGGCTACATAACAATACTGTTAACTTCATGCATCTCTCTTTAAACCTACCAAGACATTGCCATCCACTGAAAAAAACAGGCCATGCTAGTTTTAATAAGAGCTACTGGTTAGAAGTCCATGGTAACTTCAGTGTAGCAGCGGAGTCTGACCTTTGAGAATGAGGGGCAAGAACACAGCCACATACTGTAGTTTGGGATGTTGGGGAAAAAGCAAAGTTAGAAGAGGTTTCTGTGGTTGGATGAAACCAAACTTTAACTTTTTGATTTACATTAAAAAACATCACATAGAAATGAAGCCTAAAGTTGCACATAATTCACTACTAAGAGCATATAGTGAGGAATGATGTGGCTGGTAGAACATGGTGGTGGCTATAGCATGCTGTGTTGACAGCATTTCAGGAGCAGAGATGGGGGAAACTGGAAAATACGGTAAGTTTAAGACATAGAAGTGGTGCTACTTTCACCAAGACCTCAAGAACCCTAATCAAAAAGGCAGAGATAAAATAGCCGTTTCTAGTTGCTGTCAAAGTAAATCTAATTGCATTTCAGTTATTTGGAAAAGAGGAAGAATCAAACATCTTAGTGTAGTTGTGCAAACCTACACCAAAAGACGGTCTGTAATTGCAGTAAAATGTCAAAACTTACTCAGTGGTTTTAATACAGAAAATCTGAATTTTATTCCCTAAAAGATAATTGGAAAGCATGTACTTTTTACTTCTCTCTACTTTCTGTTAGGTTGTGAGAAAATAATAACTAGATGTATTGAAGTTTCTGTCTGTAACATGAAAGAATGTGAAACACTTCAAGAGCAGTTTAACTCTAGCAAGGTATGTTGATATTCCCTAACCACTATCCTAAGCTCCTATAAGGTCTGAGTTATTCTGTGTTAGCTCTACTTTTTCTTTTGATTTTAACAAAGAAAAAAGTTGAAGAGATACAGCCGAAGACCATTTTATAGAACACACACACACACACACACACACACACACACACACACACACACACACACACACACACACACACACACACACACACACACACACACACCCACAGAGCCAGCATCAGCTGCTTAAGTTTTCTTTATGGGTGTGCAGAAGTTTTACGGGTAGGAGAGCAAGTGCTTGAGCTCATTAAGGGTACGGATTAGATGTCCTCTGTGCTGTTTTCATACCATAACAACTGTCTCACTTGAAACTGCAAAAATACTTATTATTGGCAATAAAAATGAAACAACGATATGGAACTAAATGTTGACTAAAAGAAAAGCACAGAGGATGTTTTCATGTTAATTAACCAAATAATTTCTTTTACAGTTTTCTCATGGTAATGAATGGAGTCTGGGACTGTTTTGAAGCACATTCCAAAGATTTCAATGTCAACAAGAAGGTTAATTCCTGCAAAATGTCCCTGCAAAAGTTTAATTGTTTTAAATTTCACATAAAGAAGAAAGAATGTAGTTTTTTGTTTCTCCCTCTGAAGTTGTAGAAAGTCTACAAGAGAGTCATTTCTGAATTCAAATAAGCAAAATTACCATTTTCTCAGTGCAGCTTTCCTTTTTTTTAACATTGATCTTATTCTCCTCATTTTGTATTTTTAGATTACATAAACAAGAAAGAGGTAGGCTGGTGAATATTTTAGACTTTAGTCTTTCCGTCCTCTATGACAGACATCATCCAGGAATTTGATTGTATTTTTTTCAAAGTACCTTTGGGTTACATGTTTAAGAACTGTACATGGTTTTTTCATGCAAGGCTCCTCTCTGCTTAATTTTGCAAGAAAACTCTTATTGTTTTTTGTTCTTCATCCTGCATCCTTATTATTACATGGATTCCTCCATTTCCTCCCTGTCCAGGAGCTTCCAAAGCAAACATACCAACAAAAAAGAACAACATTAAGCATTCACAGGTCCACCAGTAAAGCAGCTGCAAGCTGAAAGGCCTTCAGCTTTCGTGTACGAGTGGTATTCCATCAATAAATCTAATAAGGGGGTGTTCAGAGCTGGGAGATAAACACAATTTCTGCCTTAAATGTCATGAGTTACATTTGTTTTGAGTAGATGGATCTTTGCCAACTGAAAACAGTAACAATGGTTTCTTGTGTTTTCTCTCAATGCTGCAGCTCTTTCAGCTCATGACCGAGTGTGTGAACCCTACTCTGACCATAAAGGGAGATACCACTATGGATTTCACTGCCCGCGCCTCACAGACAACAAGACCTACATGTACTGCTGTCATCACAACAACACGGCCTTCAAATACTGCTGCAACGACACCGAGTTCCAGCTGGTCATGCAGGTCAACCTTACCACCACTTCTAAAGGTTTTGCACACAAGTAAGTAAATATTTAACTCCCTGTTTGCAGTTTGTAATAATGAATGTTTATATTTATATTATGGACATAGTGAGTGCAAAGTAAACCCGGAGAGTAGTCTAAACACAGTGCAGTGCAACATTATTTACTGCAGATGGAGAATCAGAATCAGTTTTATTATTGTCTCACGGATATGATATATGCCCAGCTCCACAAAGGGCTTATAAGACACCACTGTTTAAACAGATAATGTTTTCCAGATATCAGTAGAGACAACAGAATTAATATCTTTCCAAATAAACAATTCAACTGTTTCTTCCAGGCTTTACAAATGGATGTGACCAACCTGCACACATTAAAATTAAAGAGCCATTTCATCTTGTCATAGTCACTACTCCAAAACCACTCCTGTTTGTGTAAGCATACATTCATCAACACAAGTCAAAATTTATCATACAGAGGACAATACAAAATAAAATGTACTTCATTTTTCTACATCTTCTACTGCAAGTCACACAACTTACAGAGTCAATCTTCTTCTAAGATCTGGTTAAATCTTCCAGTTTCTAAAGCCAAATGGAAGATTTGGCTTTAAAACTATTTTGATATTGAAATTTGCAACATAATTCAGTTTTAGGAGTATTTTATATGTGGATGTATTTTCTCGACTTTGGTTTACATATTAAGTCAATTTGCCTCTTACTTTCAAAGTAGAAAGTTCTCAAGTTGGTAACACTGTATGTTTAATATTTCTGAAAATCCTACAAAGGTTGAGCATGCCAAAACTCTGCAGCCCAAGGTGAGTTTAACTGAGTTAGATTGAAAACTGTCTTAGCAGTTCTGTTCCAATCTGAAGACATATTGATCAAACGATTCCACAAGTTGACTATTTCACATAGGTTTTGTAATTAACTAGGAACCCAGCCTGTAATCCTCTACTGCCAAAGATAAAGTATACTTATGAATTTCAAAAAGCAAGAACTTCAAGTAAAGAATGAATAGGTCTGTTTTGCACTTTATTCAGAAATTAACTTTGTCCAACCTTCCAAACACCAGCCGTATTATTCAGAAAGGCTTCAGCTGAGAACAGGTTTTACATCCATGATTTTAACATTCTTTAAACACAGTTATCAAAGAACTCAAAACTCTGCTCCACTAAATTCCATCCATCTTCTTCCGCTTAATCCATTAGGGTCGCTGTGGGCTGGTGCCTATCTCCATTCGTCTATGGGCGAAAGGCAGGGTACACCCTGGGCAGCTCGCTAGTCTGTCGCAGAGAAACATAACCATGCACACACACACTAACACCTAGGACAATTTAGAAAAGGCAACTTACGTAACAGTCATGTTTTTGGACTGGTCGAGGAAGCCGGAGTACCCGGGGAGACCTCAAGCATCCATGGGCAGAACAAGCTAAGTCCATGCAATCGAATTCAGGACCTTCCTGCTGCAAGACAACAGTGCTAAACACTGCAGCACCATCTGGCCAATTTTTCTTCTTGTGGTTTTTTTTTTATGTTGGTGAGACAAAAATTTTGCTTGTTTTACATTAAAAGGTAAACTAAACCAGTAATTCAGTATGCTATTTGAACACAGCCAATACAATCGCTGGACAAAGATTTTACATTTTTCAGTTGCTTTTTTGCTTTCCTCCTCTGGTAAGCATCACTGATTGGCTCGCCAGCCTCTCGCTTCAGAAAGATAACATATCTCAAGTTTCACGTTTTATAGGCTGGAATTGAGGCGGAGTGAATTCCTTGCATGCTCTAAGTGAGGGGATACAAATTCTAGCTGGGATAACTAACTTGGCACGACACCCGCAACGGCGTGACAATGGCTTAAGAGCTCATTTTGTAGCCACACCCCCAGGGCAAAGGGAACCATAACATAACCTGCAGGACCTTACAGCTTAGTGAAATTTGAATCACGCTTCCATTTTTTTAAAAGGCAGTCCATGAAAACTGAAGAGGATCTTGCCTCTTCTTTCTGAAAGCCAACTCATTCAATGCTTGCTTAAAACCATCCTAGAGCATCAACCAAACATTTCAGTTGATATCAAACCTTCCTGTTGTCTTTAACTAAATGTGTGATATCCTTTTATGTGGTATCCTTTTCCAAAAAAAGGTGTAAGACTAAACAAGCAAACACTTTTATGCCATAAATGGATAAAACCTGTAGGGATGGTATTCATCCATTAATCATTTCCCTGGCCAAGTGTATCGTCTTCAGGGTCATAGGGGACTGAGCTCCTCTTAGCTTTTAAAAACACAGAACAAGTTTGACAAAACAAAAAACTGGAAACAAAAAGTGAAACCAATAAATTCACATAAACAAAAAGTTTGTACCACAGTATATTGCACTCTAGTGTTCAAGCTCATATTATAGTCAGTTCTTCTTCTACAGGATTTCATCTTTGAATTTTTTTTGTAAGGTGTGAAATATATCACTGCTAAAGGACATTTGATTAAACACATGCTTTATTTCTGACATTTTAGAGCCTTAATGTTTTTTCTATATTCTACCAATGGTCTGGTAGGTAAATTTGGATTTATGACTCTACAATCAAGAGAAAACTGATGCAAGATATTTTTCTGAAAAGATTATTACTGAGAAATAAGTAATAGTTTTATGACCATCTCTCTCCAAAAAATCAAAGAAATTCAAAACATTTAAGCACAAATAAAGAAAAATTTACATTGGTACCAGATTTTTGTTTATGAAAGCTAATGGATGTACAGTAGGATTGAATAGAATGACACACAGGAATAAAATGGATATATAAAGCAGATCTGTTCATCTTTATCTATCTTATTGTATTAATAAAAGTGAACAAGCTTATTATGAAGCAAATTAAGTGGAAAACGTCTGAAACAAATGCAGGAGGACAGTTTGAGGTATATGAAGACTTTGCATCAGATTAGGCAATCTGAATTCAGTCGATACAGATAAAAAATGTTGCAGTTGTTTAAGCTTTGAAAAAAAAAAGAGCCACTGCTTGAGGCCTAATACAACTGCAGGAAAAGAAAAAAAACAAAACCTGCTCATGCAGTGTCAGAGATACAATCTGATGCTGTTATTCTTCAGTTCCTCTCCATCAGCAGCAATGTGCGAAAAAAATAACATTTTTCAGCAACTCTTCTGAAACAGGTTTCAATCTACTGCATTTCCAAGAGAAGGACTTTCTCTTTAAACACTTTTTGACACAGCTTGCCTTTTTCCGGAGAGGTTCATTGACACTGATCTATACCCACAGAGGCATTCAAAACCATGAAAGCAAAGAAGAGATGCTAAAAGCACCTTGTCTCATAGGCCCACCTGCCTATGAGACTGCTGCTCTAAAGATGAGCATTCAGTTGTACATTTTTTCATGGTGTCAGCGTGTCTGTATAAATTCATTAGCAGAATAGAGAGAATGTTGTCATGTTCTTGAAAGTAATGTACAGTGGAAGAAAGTGGAGGACAGTTTTTTGCTGGCAGGCTGAGTTGATTTCTACTGCATGAAGAACACAGAAAAAAGGTGACTGTGGGAGCTCTCAGTGGGAGATTTAGGTGACAATACCACAGCTCTTTGTACTAATGCCCTCCCAGCATGCATCTGCCTCAGACGGTTCCCGCTGCCCCCCAGCAGGCCGTGATATTTCATTTTTAGTATTGGAAAGCCTGTTGAGTTATTCTTTCATCTTGGCTCTAAAGGTGATGGGCCTGTAGGTTTGATATTTACTGCTGGCAAAGTCAAAAAAGAAAAACCTTAAAACCTAAAAAAACAAAAAACAACTCTGCTCTCTCCTCACACCAGATGGTGGAAATGTTATTATAGGGTAGAAATTTACTGCTGCAGGTGTTAAAAACTAAAGGGCATATGACCTTTGAAGCATCCCTAGTAAATGCAGGGTGCAAAAAATGATGACATTTCATTATATTTGTTATTTGTACCAGTACATTTTTTAAATATAGCATAAAACTGCAAGTTTCAATATACTTTATTTGGGTTTAATGATGTAGAATAACAAAAATAATGTATCATTGTTTTTGATTGTTTTGTTTTTGCAAATCAAAATCTGTACAGAGCATCCCTTGGTATAGCATATCTAAAGACTAAAGCATTTGCAAATTTCTAACTGGAAATAACCTAAGTTTTTTCAAAGATAATGGTGAGAAACTGTGACATGAATTTCTAAATCTTGTCACAAACTCACAGTTGAATCATACGTCTGGACTTTGAGTTGGCCTCTCAAACACATTAATTTGCTTCCAAGGCGGAAATTCATGCTAATGGTTTAATCTCTGCCTCATTTTAACCTCTGATTTCTTTGTTTCATCCTTGACTTAGCTGACATCCTTGCTTCCATCATCCAACCATCACAACTATATGATGACGTTTTCCACCACCTTTCTATTACTTTGATGGTGGTTGGTTCAGGTTCTGTCACTAAGTGGGTATATTTTGTGTTTATATTTATATGGGTCATTTATATGTGTAGTCCTAAAACTGCAATGATCAAATTCTTTAGGTGCAACAAGAGGTTCCTTTATAAACAGATTCTCTTATCATAGCCTAAGGATCTGGGCACCATCTCCTGAAATATCATGGGTCGCTTTACCTATTTTAGAATTAAATACCATAGTCTGTGGAGACAATGTGACACAACATGAAAAGATTCAGAGGTATAAAATAACTTTGCATTGAAGATGAAGGTATACAATAAAAATGAATAATCTAAAAATGCTAGACTAGAAGGCAGGGCTGTTTGTCAGTTGATTCACTGCATCAGCTTTCATCCTCAGAGGAAAATGTGTTTATGTAATTGATAACAAGTCAGTGATTCATTTTAAGCAACGTGTAAATTTTTCTCCTAACAAATACGGCATCTGATTATAAAAAAAATACCCTCAACAAATCTCACAGGATATAATAGTTAACTCAAACTATAAGTATATTTGTCAGAAGCAGAGGCTGGAAAATGCAGGTAAGCTTGCATTGTTGCACACCTGAGTACAGGGAGGGCATTTAAATTGCACTTAAGCCCCTATGAGAAGCTCAGATGTTCCACCTAAAGTAGTTTCCTCAGTTCAATGTCCTTAGGGTCCTAATAAACATATATTTTGAAGTAATATTGTCTCAGCTCTGTCTCTGAGTCAGACTAGTTTTTGTTTCCATGCATTTATGGGTTATTCCAACTAAATGCTGTCAGTGCCAACTCAAGCAGAAATGTCACAACCAGAGATAATTCAATGACCCCGTTTGCTCAAAGGCAACCAGGGTCTCAGGAAGCTCATTTTCTGAAACTATTTTTGTTTGTTTACCTTGTGTCTTCTTTATGGATGCTGGAAGACTAAAGTAGACATCAAATGTGACCCACATAAATCCAGCAGGATCACTTTAACCGCAAAAAATAAATAAATTCAAGAGGGGAAAAAAAAGAGCAAAGAAAGGAACAGGATTGAAGGGAATTATAAAGTCTCTCGTGCTAATTACATTCTTTGTCAAATTTGTTAAACTGAATTTAAGGAACTGCAAAGAGAACAGATGGTGGGTTTTTAATATATTTATTTATTTAACTGTTTTTTTTTTTATCAAGGGAACATTGGATGAACATCTTGGTCTTGCCAAGTGAATAGCGTACATTCACACCTGGCAGCACCACCGTAGCCTCTGGGATTTAGGAGCTTAGCTTCAGAATATCAAAATGGAAGCTCCCAGCATGTGAAGACTGTTAATCATCATCTTCTCCAGATAAAACTGTGTAAATATTCCCCATCTGTCTTCTCCTGCAGTAATTACACAGCCTTGATTGGCGTGTGGATCTATGGCTTCTTCGTCATGGTGCTGCTGGCCTTGGACTTCCTCTACTACTCAGCCATAAACTACGAGCTGTGCCGGATCTATCTGGAGAAGTGGGGATTAGGTGGACGCTGGCTTAAGAAGGCTAGGAATCAGTGGCATAGATCCATGCCTGAGGAGAGTGAAGTTCAGACTCAAGCCCAGCCCATGGTCCCCAGCGGCCACTATCAGCCCAGACACAGCCTCAGAGGAGAGAGCCACAGCCCGACGCTCCTACCCTACAACACGTCCACTGCATGGTGAGTTCATTACCAACATTGCATGCAGCAGTTAAAGGGATGTTTAGCTACGTAATGTGATAGGGGCTCTAAAAAATTCATAAAAATCCAATTTCCATTGGAGTATTTGCTCCTTTTACAGATTTTTCTGTTCCTAATTTGTTGCATTTAAGGGCATCAGGTCATCAAAAGTAAATCTAGAAGTTAAGAGGGTTAACGGAGCAAAAAGTTAATAATTTACTTTAAAGTTAATCAAATTCACTCTCATTTGTTACCTTTTATAGTAGTAACATTCCCTATTAACAATCCTCTATATTAACAAAGTCTTCTTTTAAACCTAGAAGTACAGTCAGGAACCACTTTGGTGCAGTTTGCGACCATTTTTTATTTTCTGGTTCCTGGGCCAGTCATTTAGGAGTTTTCTGGTTCACCAAAATAGAGTGCAGCATTTGATATTTTATGTTGGCAAAAGAGCAGCAACCTGCAAAGATTGAAGCTGGCAAAACAAGCAGGTCAGAAATACGCTCAATTTACACTACCCTCTGAAAACCAATCCGTGTCAAGTTCGGATCGAGCTTAGATCAGTTAACCACGGGGAGCTCGGTTCCTTGCGACCATTTACACACCAGGCTAGCACTGTTCCTGGCCTCCTAGTGACGATCTACAGTACTACTGCTCTCTCCAGGGAAACAAGCAAATCAACATGGCAGTGCCCAAAACATTCAGGAAGTTTGGTTATAATTGCGATATTTGGTTGTTTGCAGAGAGTCAGGAAAAGAAGGCAGCCTTTGGTGAATTTATTTGAGATAGTCAGCTTTTGGGAATTGGATGCGACAATTGATAGTCTAATCAGGTCTTACAGACGCAGGAAACAATAATAGGCATTAAGGTTCACATTTCTAAGCACTGGAAATCATGTGGGAAGGTAGGGAAGCTTGTATTTTTATGAATGTTTGAAATTTCATGATTGCAGAGGCTGAATGTAATGATAACTGTGCAAGCCCTAATGATGAACCAGTACCAGTTTAGTGTGGTTCGATTGTGTCTGACACAGTCCAGTTTAGTTTTGCGTTCCATTTACACTCAAAATTTATCTCGGTTACTGTGCTCAGACTGATCTCAGCACGGTTTCAAAAGGGTAGTGTAAATAGGGCTACATATTCAACAAAACCTAGGGTTAGGGTAAGTCCCAGCATCCTCTGACAGATTTTCCCAATAACCTACTATGGCTGAATCATCTTTACTCTCCATCTTGAAATATATCCTTATTTCTCTTGACTTGGCAACCTGTACAGCACTCTCTAAAGTGGAGGAGGATGAAGAGGAGTGGATGGGAGGTGTTTTGTTTTCAAAGTGTTCTGGTTTGGCATTATTCAGACATGAGCAGATCTTTAGATAGTAAACCCGATCGTCCCAGAGAAAATAGGGTGATTGTTGTCAAAACTCTTTGGAGATAGGAAAGATATTAAATTTAACAAGGATGATCAGAATCATTTTTATAATTTTTCTAAATCTGACACCCTTGACTACACAAAAACTTAAAGTGAATCCCTGGATAAAAGGCTTTAGAAACCAATTAATAATAAAAAATGAAAAAAATACTGCAACAACCACCGCCAAGAAATTAAGGGAGAATAATTTTTTTAGGAAAATTATTTTCTAGTTTCTAACTTGCAAAGAGCATAACAGATTTGTTTGATAAACTGATCATATCCATGTTGTTTGGCCTTTTTACCTCAAAAAGGCGTCTGGTTAATGTCACCCAGCCGTTCACAGCAGCCAGTGTGAGCTCTAGAGCAAGTGTGCTGCTGTTTTATCCAATAAAACAAGCTATGCAGCCCTTCCTTAATAAACATAATAAATATAGTTGCTGTTCCTGGATTTTTTCCACTGAGGTTACAGCAGTTTCAGCAGTAGTGGACTTATTACAACTGATATTGCATAACTCTTGCTTTAACAGATACATCAACTGACTTACAGGATTTCAAGCAAAGCTGTTAAATATCAAGAAAATATGTAGGTTTGTTAATATCTGGTTAATATCTGTTGTTCAGAGACTATTGTTATATTACATAAACCTGTGTGGAGCACAACACAATGTGGTTTGTTCTGCTCTGATAAGCATATTTCCAAACCAGGTACTGTTGCCATTTGGAAAAGAACATTGAATAAAACAGATGCTTGGATACCGAGGGGGTGATTGACCTCAGAAATGTTGTTTATTCCATTTTTCTGAAGCACAATTTTTATGTATTTACTTTCTTGTTGGTTTTATTTCAAGTCTTTGCTTTACGATACAAAAAGCAACACGCCAGTAGATCAATGAGTCATGAATGATAGCGTGTTTAGAGTAACTTCAGTGAAATTAACAAGATGGAGGCTCAAATATTAGGTTGAATTCCTTTTGAAGAGCAAAAATAATGATAATGAGGTTGCACACAAACAAGTAAATACAACAGGAGATAAGATCTCTTCACTATCTTCCTTGAACATTTTCCCATTCTTCTATTGGATTTTTATCTTTTTAAGATAAAGCTGCACTTTACCTCATTAGGTAAATTTCATTCTAGATTTAGCAGAGATTAAATGATTAATGATAACATAAAATAGTTTGGGGCTGTTTTCTTTGGAAAACATAATCTTTCATCCTTTCTGTGTGTATTTCTTTTGCATCAGAGAGAAGTCACAAAAAACTCTAGGTGTGCGCTCCCACATGTGAGCGGGGTTAAGACAAACAAGATGATTTATGACTCCCAGGGAACTGTAAAACGCTGTAGCTGTAGCTGTGGAGGAACTCCTTCTTTTTTCCCCCCCGACGTTGTTCAAACTTTGATGATAAAGCAGCAGGATCGCAGAGCACAGCCTGAACAAACATCCACTTTTTGAACAGTCAATTTTTCATCCTGGTCTCTGTCTCAGATGCTGTGCAGCCAGACTTCTTTGACTAGAGTTCAGACTCCTCCTAGAGGTAGACATGTCTCTAGGGCTATGGTAATTTAATGTTGAAAAGGTTTGACAAATGGCTTCAAGAAAGAGTGCAGACTGTGTGGACCGACAGACGGAGGAGCAGGGATGCTGGAGAGGGGATCTGGGGACCGTTCTGCTGGTGGGAAACGTAGTTAACTTATACTCAACAAATCCATAGAGCTTCCTCATTAGACATGAAGTCTGTTCGGTATGATAGTACTCATCAATCCTATTTTGGCTAGGCTCACCTCTACTGCCTACAACATGTACCAGCTCAGGCAGATTATGTTAAGGTTAGGAAAAACAACAAATTAAAGGGGCTTCAACATGTAAACTACTGATCTTTGCAAAGGTATTTATACCCCTCTAACTTTATTCTGTCATGCTAATTATATATACAAACTTAAATGCATTTTAAGAGGGTTTAAGACATTGACACAAAGTACTAAAATGGTTTACAATAAATGTAAATTTCACTACAACTCCAGATATATACATTTTGGTATGTATCTGTAACTACTTTTCTGTTTTTTTTTTTGTTTGTTTTTTTTTTTTTTTTTTTTTTTCTAAAAAACTCAAGCTCTTTTGAGTTGCATAAAAAGCCTATGTTGACTGCTTCTTTTTTCTAGATTGTGATGAAAAAATTATGCAGAGACATTTGTTTTTCGAGATGTTAAGGTAGAGCAGTTCAACTCGTTTCAGTTCTGAACTTTGACTGGACCATTCAAACACAAAAATAGGCTTTAAAGAGACATTTTGTAATTTTTTTACAGAAAAGTATCTTTTAATTAGCCTTTTTTTTTTACTCTTTATACTAAAACATAGTTTGATAAGCAGACTGATACCTCAGTAATTCAACGCTGATGCATCCATAAGCCTGTAATCTATATCAGGTCTGAAGTTCCAGTTCTGTTCTGTGGATGCCCATCAAACAACTCCATGTTGAATGGGTCTAATCTAGCAAAAAAAATCAAAGCATTATAATCAAGTCAAGTGTGAGGGTACTCTACGAAAACGTGCAGAAGAGTGCTGCAGTTGTGTGTTTTGGCCACAGGTGGCAGTGTCTTATGTTATGCCTCTTTAAACTAAATATTTTTATTGCAGCTCTGACTTGATTTTTAGTGACATCCAGCTGAAGGGCCTTCACTCCAGAGTCTTGTATTTTTACTCCATGTAATCAGCTCGTCCTCCTAAGATCTTTAATGACCTTTTCTGACATTGCTATCAAACAGCCCCTCCATGGTATAATGCTCCCACGACTAAAGCGTCTTTTTCTAAGTCGGTCAAATAAAATGCCTGTGAACTACACTGAAGTTTTTTGGAGAGTGATACATCTGTAAAACTTTATACAGTTTAAACACTTTTGGCAGGGCATTTTTTGTTTAAAGAAGGAAGCGAACCTCAGCGGTCTAAAAAAAGAAGTCCCTTTTTTTCAAGAAGGATGTCATATCTTGTATGAGGGTTTTTTTTTTTGCCATAAAAGGTGCTTCTGCTTTTTTTTAATGAGCAGGCCAGCACTTACCAAATCCTAAAATGGTTCTTGCACAATCAGTAAAACAACATGACAGATGCTTGGAGCTATATTCAGCCACAAGCAGTTTCTGGGACAAGATTAGAAGAGCCTGTTTGCAGTTTCACACATTTAAGCTCTCCTCTGAATGCTGATAATGCTCACACTTCGTCTTAAAAGTGTTAAGTAACCAAAATGGGCAATAGTGTGGTGCAGTGGATGATACCCACGCCGTGTGTCATCAGACGGCCCCATATTTGATTTGTTGGGACTCACAGATCTTTTCCCTCTGGGCGCAGGATGCAGAGTAATAGTTGATAAAACTGGGTCCACTTGGTTTAACATCTGCTGGTCAAATGTAAATAAACACAGACCGGGTCAAGTCCCAAAACTGGCGCAGCGGCATCTAAAAACAACCCAGTCACAGGGAACGGATAATGACCAGCACAGCAGAGCAATCTAAGCAGAAACTCTAAATATCCGCTGATTTCTCCACACGAATGGAGAAAGTGCAGCTTGGCATTCAGCAATGGGAATATTGCTC